GGACTAAGATCCGTATTTCACATAAGAATGAATTGTTACACCCAGTCTTATGTTATTTAGGTAGACATCTAATGTCAATCACATCCAATGTGACTCTTAGATCTTTTTATGAGACTATGATATCGAATATCATTGCATACTCGTCTCATCTGTACCGTTAAGTCTCAAGTCAAAACTTGATAACTTAACCTAAGGTAAACCATGTTCAAGCTGTGGGAACCACGATTTCCCACCCTGCCTCACAAAGATAATCCGGCACACTCAGCTTTGGCATGACCCGTGTTACGGACAATGCCTTGACAGGCGCTCTAGTAATGGGAGGTACATGCTTAGCATTACATAAATAAGGGATTTTCGAAACTACACTTAGATCAAGCATCTACTTTCAAGCTATGAGAACCACCATTTCTCCATCTTGCCTCACCAAGATAGCACGACACACCCAGCTTTGGCATGGCCCATGACACGTACGATCGAGGCCTTGACAAGTGCTTTACTCGTAGAGCTCCTAGATCTAACCGGTTTCTGTGCAACGATTGTACAGATCAAATCAAGGATCAACCATTGTTCCTTAATCAGGTGTATTACATAATCCGAATTTTGGTCTTACCTCGGGACGTGGACTGATCGGTCCAGGCTCTGGACCGGTCGGTCTACACAGTCCAGAACGGTCCAGACCTTTCGGTCTGTCCGTCCAGACCGGTCAGTCTTGGTCCAGACCGATTGGTCCACACGTATGGACCGTTCAGTCCAGACCTGTCGGTCCAACCGACCCGCGAAACCCTAGACCGATCAGTCCAGGCGAAAACGTGATCAGATTTCGTTTTCGTCGTTTCTGCCCCGTTTCAGACCCGAATTCGACCCGGTTTTTGCCTGCGAACTCAGAATTTGAAGCTCTTGCACAATATGCAACAATGAACAGGAAATCTACTCTAGATCCACAATCAAATCATGCATAGCATCAAAGCAAACACGGATTCAAACAATTCAAATCCTATAACGTGCGTGAGCGGATTCTAACAAAATCATACAGAAACCAGGCTCTGATACCACTGATGGAATTCCTGGGATCTCAAAAGCGAATCTAATTCCTAAGAGATCGGTTCTAGGGTTTGCGCAGCGGATGTAAAACAAAATTTTTGATGAAACCCTAAGACTTATCATGCATGATTTTGTAGAAACGTTAGAAAGCTTACCTCAATCGATCCGAGGCCTTTATCAATTGATGTGTTCGTCTGATCATGTAAGGCAGGAAGAATACCTCACCCTCTACGCGTATCCACACAGCGGAAAGGATTCCAACGGTTTAAATTTGTCTACTAGGACTGAAGAACACGTTCTTCTTTGCGCAAGGGTTTCAGAGATTTTTCTCTAGGTTTTTCCACTCTTAAAAACTCCCAAAGGGTCTGAAAGTTCTGCCAAGAGGCTTGGGAGACGTTCCCTAAAGTTAATCCCACTTAAAACCCTAATTAGAGCGACTTTAGGAAATCCCGACGTCTGGACCGATCGATTCAGGCCTGGACCGATCGGTCTGGAGCTTTTTACGTGTGGATCGATCGGTCCATGATTCCGGACCGATCGGTCTGGAACATTTTTCGGACCGAGCAACATTTGCACGTTACCTCTGGACCGGCCGGTCCACGTGTCTGGACCGATCGGTCTGGGTTGGCTGGACTGATCGGTCCAAACCTTCTGGACCGGTAGGTCTGGCCTCCACTCCACCGGGATTTTCTCGTCTCTTCTCGCGCATTTGTCCTTTCCTGTGTGTGTGACCGTGTAGGCTCATCCGATATAGCAGTATAACCCGAAATCTCTTATTTCGGTTACCCAAGTCATAGGCGGTCTCTAGCAAGACACTATGACTACCTATCTCGAATAGAGTTTGTTCGTGATCCTACGAACACCAATGATGATTCCGGTTGATGATCCTTTTGTATCACGATATCATATGTCGAATATAAGGTATGGAAAGTCACCTTATCTGATTCGACTGTGATGATTCCGGTTGATGATCCTTTTGTATCACGATATCATATGTCGAATATAAGGTATGGAAAGTCACCTTATCTGATTCGACTGTTTTCTCGTTCACTGAGTCTGAAATAGACGACGTTCGTCTATAGTGCGGCCACACATTTCTACAGTCTCGCTCACACGAGGGGCCCAGCGATATCTCTCTCTTTTACGAGAGGTACAAATTCCGTCTTGACTATCTATAGTCCAGCACATGATTCGTTTCGTACCTGATACACGCCTTTATAGTCCTCCTTTTACGCAGGACGTTTGACGTATTCAAAGTACGCAACTCCTCATGTTGGATTCCGTAGATATCCCAGGTCTTAGGATCCAATCATGGAATTGTCATATGAGATTCAAGTCATGACGCAAGTCCATGTGACAATCTCATGCAGGTCAGTCCAGTATTCCGTTCTCCAACGAATACCTATGATTGTGATCGTATCCAATACCTATGATCATCTCTATGATCATCAATTACACATCGTACCAGTCTTATTACATCATTATTCCCACAATGACATGCGACTAGGGAGTTTAGTACTGTTCATAACAATACATGGATTTCATAACATATTTAAGTATGCAAAAAAACATGTAATGTATAAAACACTCATCCATCAACTCATAGAAAGTGTCAATACATCAAATGTATCTATAAATAAAGCCCGCAAAATAGTACACCATAGAGCACTAAACCAACACTATGGACTGGCTGGAACAAGAGTAAGAACGAGAAATCACCATAACTTCGGCCGCAAACAAACATCGAATCAACATCATCGATACACCCAGGCATGTTGATTTCACCCTCGAAGTAGAGCGTGCCCTTAGGGTTCTTGATATGCCTGTTCGACAGTGTTGCAAGTGTTGAGCCACAGTCTGAGACTGTGTGGAGACGAGCCGATAAATAGGGGGTTCCGAGGATTTGCTTTGTGAATAAGATGGACTGACTTGGAGCTAATTTCTTCAGGACAAGGGATATAATAGTGACGAACTTGGGTGTCAAGCTATCGGTGATTCATATACCAATTGGATCTGAAGATATCTTCAAGGGGGTTGTGGATCTTGTCTGGATGAAAGCTATCGTCTGATGGGGTGAAGTTGGGTACAAAGTTCATTTATGAGGAAATCCCGGAAGATCTTCGAGATCTGGCTTAAGATTATCGAGCTCAAATGATTGAGATAATAGACGAGTTGGACGATGAAGCGATGAAGAGTTATCTGGAAGGAGTTGAGCCTGATGAGGAGGTGGTGAAGAGATTGATCAGAAAAGGAACCGTTTCAAGCAAGTTTGTTCCAGTTCTATATGGTTCAGCTTTCAAGAACAAAGGAGTGCAACCATTCTTGGATGCAATGGTTGATTACTTGCCTTCACCGATCGAGTTGTCGGCCATAAAAGGATCAGATCCTGAGAAACCGGAAGCTATGATCAAGCGCAATGCGGATGATGACAAGTCGTTCTGGGGTTTGGCGTTCAAGATCATGAGCGATCCTTTCGTGGATTCACTTATGTTTGTGAGGATTTACTCGGGAAAACTTTCGACCGGATCTTATGTTATTGAACGGTAACAAGGGTAAGAAAGAGAGAATCAGAAGACTCTTGGAAAAGCATGCAAACAGCAGGGAAGACATTAAGGTTGCCCTGACGGGTGATATCGTCGCTCTTGAGAGGCTAAAAGATAAGATCATGATTAAACCCTATGTGATCCCGACAGTCCCATCGTTCTTGAACAGATGGATTTCCTGGATCCCGTAATCAAGGTAGCGATCGAACCCAAGACAAAAGCCAATATAGATAAGGATGGAGACAAACTTGATCAAGCTTACGCAAGAAGATCTGTCTTTCCATTTTTCCCGGGACGAAGAGATTAACCAAACGGTCATCGAAGGAATGGGCGAACTTCATCTTGAGATCATCATTGACTGACTCAAGAGAGAGTTTAAAGTATACATTTATCGTTATCTCTTTTCGGATTATCCTAATTCTCCATCTCTCATTCCCTTTAACCATACTCTAAGGTCGAGGCCAATGTGGGTGCCCTGCAAGTGAACTACAGTGAGAGTATCTCCAAAACTTTAGAAGTGAAATACATGCACAAGAAACAATCAGAGGGAAAAGGTACAAATTCAAGAGCGAGATCAAAGGAGGAGTTGTGCCAAACGAGTACACACCCGGTGTCATAAAGGGGCTGGAGGAAATCATGAGCATGCAATGGCGTCCTTGCCGAGTTTCTAGTGGTCGATGTCTGAGCCGTTCTAATGGAGGCTCATACCATGACATCGATTCAAGTGTCCTCGCCTTCCAGCTCGCCTCCAGAGGAGCTTTCTGAGAAGGGATAAAGAAATCTAGTCCAAGAATGTTGGAATCAATCATGAAAATTGAAGTGCATACACCTTAAGAACACTTGGGAGATGTTATTGGAGATTTGAACTCTAGAAGAGGTCAGATCGATAGTTTCGGCGATAAACCCGGCGGTATGAAGATATTATATATATATATATATATATCCCGATGATCGAGTAAACTTACCGGATTCAATGGTTTCAGATGATTGATTGAGGGCAACTTTCTATTTCAGGTGGTGGATGCTTTGGTTCCATTGGTGGAGATGTTTCAATACGTGAGCGCGTTGAGAGGGATGACAAAAGGACGACAAAAGGACGTGCTTCTTACACAATGCAGCTTGCTAAGTTCAATGTTATCTCTCAACACATCCAGAACCAGCTTGCTTCCAAAGACCGTGAAGTTGTTTCTACTTAAGACAAGATCATTATCTTAACACAAAAGAAAAACAAATTGGGTATTGTAAAATTTGAGGCATGAAGTTGTGTCTGTCTTCATATCCAATGGTATAAAAAAAACAATTTTTGGAATCAGATTTGCCATCTATGGCATTGTCCCAACCCCCCCAAAAAAAAAAAGTTTAATGTTAATGTCATAAATAAAAAAAGATGAGATATGTGAAAATGGGTATTTTTTTCTATCTCATTTGGACAATCCCGACATTGATGAACTTTTGAATCTTGTTCATCACCACAGGTTCTTCATGTGTTCTGTGCTGCTTTTGGATTCTGCTGAAAATCTCTCAATATCTGTTCCGAAATTGATCGTTAAAGATCGATTACCAACATGCAAATATTTCAAACTAATATCCTGAAAAAACTTGACCTAAGACACCAAATGCCACTTTCAGCAAACATTCAGAGAAGTATGAAGCTCCCTATTCTGAATTTCTCCCCTAAAAGAAAAACTCTTTTAGATTTGTCTCATCACAGCACAGAAAAACTCAAGTTCAAGACTTGCTTCAATTCCCAGTAAACATTGTGAACTTTATCCCAAAGGGCTACCCAAATCTAAACTTGTATCTCATTCAGCTCGTCCGGAGTTAGGTCCCCCAAGGTTTGCCTTGTTGATCTGTTCTACACATCTGTAGAACAAATTCTTCAAAATGTTAAAGACAATATGGAAGATACCATGATACATACACACGCACAAATACCATGTTGCCTTCTAAACTGTCGAGCAACTCCTGATTATTAGGATCATGTTTGAGACCCTCCTGGTAAGTTTCCATTCTTTATCATATTCCTTCATGAAGAATTGAACCGACCGCTCATTTTCTATTGTATCCATTTGAGAATGTTGCATATAACTCTATACACTTTTCTGCATCCTTCAACCTTTCAGGCATTGCCCAAAGTTTTGTGTAACAAGCAGCTCGCTTGCTATATGTCTAGCAAGGAATGACAAGAAGAAACTATCGACCGAGTCAAAATGCACATCTATGTATACAAATAATTAGGAACATATCATCTTTAATAATCCTCTTACTCTCAGGTCTTTAGGGTTCTTCTTGATTGCCTCGGTGTAATGTTTCACAGTCTTAGGATACTTCTGCTCTGTGAAAAACTCATTTCCTGTAAATGTATATATATCACGTTATCAACCACATGAAAATGTTATAGAAACTTAGTTTTTCGCAAAAACTGGAGTAACTAACTATGGAAAGTGAATACTTTTCTCACGCTCCTCATATGCTTTTTGTGGATCCAAATTACTCCTTCTGCTCCAACTCTTTTTTGGCTCTCTTTGCCTCGTTCAGTTTCTTCAACGTATCTGGGTTTGATGTTCTGTAAGAGCTTTCTGGAATGTCTCAATCGCACGATCATAGTCTTATGATGTAATACCCCGGATCCCAAAATAAATATTTAATTATTTTCGAGAATAAATAATTAAATAAATGTGTATACTAATTTGGGAATGGAATGAAAAAAAAATGGAAAAGAGTACGAAGCCGGAAAACGTCAAAAAAAAAAAAGGATAAAAAAAAAATAAGCAAAGAAGAATGTTGAAATTTATCTTCAGTCTAGATCTGACCAGGAACTGGTCAGTCAGACCAGGGTCGGATCGTCGGACCAAGACGAGGAAGAACGGATCGGAAAAAGATAGAAAATTTTGAAAAGTGAAGTTGGTCCGCCTGACCAAAATCTGGCCAGGGTCAGACCAACCTACTAAGTCCGTCAGACAGACTCGAGGGAAGAAGAGGCGGACCGAAAGAAGAAAAAGGAAGGCTGGTCCGGGGCTGACCAAAAGTCAGTCCGCCGGACCAGAACCATTCGGAGAGGAAGAGGAGAAAATGGAGTCTGGTCCGGAGCTGACCACACTTGGTCAGCCGGACCAGAAGCTCAGTCGGACCGAAACCAGCTTGAACGGACCAAAATTCTGATTTGTTCTTCCGGTCCGGCGGACCAAATGCTTGGTCAGCCGGACCAGCAGTGCAAATTTTTCCAGCACGTGCTCGCGAAGTAGCCATTTTGAGTGCGATCTACCAGCCCGTCCCGGCCCCTCTCGACGTGATTCCACCTCCCACGACCCTTAGGGTGTTGCAGGCTTGGACTTAGGCCTTTTCTTGAGCCCATTCGACCTCTCCTTCGTGGCCAAAAACCCTAGCAAAGTAGGGGACGCAGCCATTTCGGCTGCAGAGGAAAATAGAGGAAAGTGAGAAAAGAGAGGGAGAAAGGAGGAGAAAGAGAGAGGGGGAAGGAGAAAGAAGCTCGTGGGAGCAAAGAGGGCCATCCCCAGAGGGTCTAGGAGGGTCACCGTCATCGGAGTCACCGGAAAACGACAAGAAATCCGGCCAAAACTCAGATCCGAATCTGAGCAAAGGTGAGTGGCTTGAGTTGCGTCTGTGTAAGCTCATTTTCGTCGATGTGATTGTGTTATCTCGATGATTGGTTGATTGCTTTTGAAAGAGGACATTTCAATGAAGATTTAGAAACAAACGGTACTCAATTTGGTTGAGAAACCGAAAACTGTGAAAAAACAGAAATTGCAGAATCGCGAAACTTATGAGGTACAGACGTTACGAATCAATTTTCATCATGTATACATAGATTTGAAGTAATCTATTGATAGGATATGAAAGAGGACATCCCAAAGAACATTTAGAAACAAACGGTGCACGATTTGGTTAAGAAACGAGGGAGTTATGAGCAATCGAAGTCGGACCAAAAACCTGAAAAACGCGAAACGTCGAACTGCCCAGTTCCGGTCCGCCGGACCGGAACTGGTCAGCTCCGGACCAAGTCCGGAAAATTGATTTTAGTCCGCCCGACCAACCCTATGGTGGACTCCATACGGGTGTGGTTACTTTCCCGTCTGTGTCATGCTGAGTTGACATCGGGTGGTCACGAGTGTGACCAGCGCGTGATACGCGTGTGTCGCAGGTGA